AAGGACCACGCTAGTCTTCCTTGTCTTTGTGAGCAATGTTCATCTGCCGCTGAATGGCTGCTGGGGGGACACGAACTTGAGCCCTGGGGCAGAATGGGGCGGGTGAGTCATCCCGTAACTGATCGATGAGCATTCATCCATGAAGGGTAGGTCCTGTAGATCAGAGTGCGTTAGCCGTAGTGGAGGCCGTTCATCAGCCACCGACTTAAGAAAGCCCGCCTAGGACGGGTGGTGTGTTGCGAGTCAGGAACCAGGATATTTTGCTGTCTTAATTTACTCACCTGACACTAATAGGGAACCTGCAATAAGTGCTCATGGCTGCTCGATTGTAGTGAGTCGGCTAATAGATAACCACTAAAGTCCAAGGGTGTGCGCAGTTCCATTCACGCATTTGTTTACAAAGATGACTACATTTGGTTGTGTAGTGTACCAAAGCTCCCTCTTACTCCAGAATAGTTTCTTACGGGACCGGTGGTAATACGGGTTTTATGTGTGGACCATCACGATGGACAGCGAGCATAAGATGTCGATTGCAATTCCAGTGAAATAATTAGGCACAACTACGCCTACTGTAACACATATAGTAGAAATTTAAGTATATTTAACACAAATTCACCATACAACTTACTCTTATTTCAAAGATTGAGAAGGAGAGAGATGAGCTCTACGAAAAGTTTGTCAGCGCAGTGCAGGAAGTGCAGCAGAAATGTGGCCTGAAGAACACCCTGTTGGAACGTCGACTGGCTTTTCTTGGAGAGAAACTCGAAAAGAAGGAGCTACAATTCAACGAGGTCATGTCCACCGGCAACGTTGATCCAGTTGCTGTTGCCGAAACGACGCGGAAACTGGAGGTGAGTTCCCACGTTTCGATGTAGTTCCTCTGTTTGGGTTGCATAAGAGCTGCTCTGAACTCCTGACTAACTTTGCCTCTGCGGGTTGTTTTCACTTGATGCCAATGAAACACCTGGTCTGGATTATTGACACTACTTATTAACCACTTAAGTAGCATGTATGTTTTACAATTGATTTTCGATGCCCTTGTAAATGCACATATATCTTATAGAAAACATAAATGAGAATAGCCTTTCTGTTGTTCATTTGCTAGGAAGTTACGTCTTTTTCAAAGTACTTGCTTAACAAAGAGTGGTTTTCGGTTTTAAACAGTTTCAACTATGGTCTTTTTTGAGACCTTGATGTATTGCATCTATCTATTTGCTAATTTTGCTGATAAAGTAGCTAACATGGCTCACACCAGTTGCAAATGTTTGTGAAAACTAAGTGGCGTTTCCCTCTTAGCGTTGATAAATGTCTACTTTTCCTAGGGCAATGTATGCAACATGTAGTCTTGAAACCCTGCATGTAAGTATTACGATGGGTCTGTTCAAATGTTTTCGGCAAATGAAGGTTTCTGACCATCGGATTGTCCTTCTTCAAGTAAAAAATTGGAGGAGGACGTCATTTGCTACTAAATGAGCAGTAAAACGAATTTTCATGTATGCTTTCGATATACTATCTTTGAACTTGTGAGAACATCGAAAATCAGTAGGAAAAATGCGTGCAAAAACGAATATTACTAAAAGCAATATTATTAATATTACTTAAGTAATCCTCGCGAACCGAAAACACATTTAAGAATTTCGGTTACCATTTCATCTACCGAATTTCCGGCCTGCAGTTATGCTACAGTTGGTTGACGATGGTATATGATCTAGAACCAACAATCCCAGTCCCAGGCCCTTCTTTAATTGCCTCCGTAAATTACAGAGATGCTCTTGATAGCCTTCTTACCATAAACCTTTAACACTTTTTCCGACAGGAAACTCTGGACTCGAAGAACGTGGCAATTAAAGATCTGCAATACGAACTGGCTAGAGTGTGCAAGGTAACTCAACCGGTTCTGACTTTGATCCTTTAAGCCTTCTCTGTATGTTCAGTCCCACTTCAAGCAAATGCCTTACTCTTGCCATTTATGCGCGATATTATAGGCCCACAACGACCTGCTGGAGGCTATTCGTGTGAAGATGGCCAACGTTGGAGTCCCCTTCGATGAACTGGGCTTTCGGGCAGTCGACTGTGTGCTGCCAAATCATGTCTTGGGAAAGGGTCCAGCTGGTCTAGTATCTATTCCTCCTTGAGGCAACTTTCCCTCCTTCTCTCTCATTCGATCATGTTTCGTTTTTGTGCATGGTGGAAGAACCTATTTCTCTTCCGATACGTGGTATGTTTTTCTAAGACAGCAATTTACACCATGCATTCCAATTCGGTATTAAGCATCATTTGTGAAATCGGGTATCCACGAAGGCAGGGCGGAGGAGGAGGGAAAAGAATTACTGACTTGCATACTTCGTACCGGGCCCTTTGGCTCTCAGCTTCTGCTGTCATGTCCGCCAACTGTATGAATTGATCATTATTC